TTAGCCATACTTCCAATATGTCCTAGCCATATCAGTCTTGGTGCTCTTGCTACTCACGTTATACTCAGTTTAATATAGTTTTCTTTATTTCTTCGTTTGTTCTTCTGGTCCACATGTTGTCTATCTCTTTTTCTCCAAAAATCTTTGTCAGTATTTTCCTTTCCCAGAGCTCGAGTTTCGAATATTCCGTCGCATTGAACGTCTACATTTCATATGCATATACTACTATTGGTCGTACCATTGTTTGTCATACATTCTGCCTGTAATATTATGTCTAAGTATCGTCTTTTCACCAAAAATCTTTGTCAGTATTTTCCTTTCCCAGAGCTGCAGCTTCGGATTTTCCGTTACATTGAACCTCTACGATTCACATGCATATACTACTATTGGTCGTACCATTGTTTGTCATACATTCTGCCTGTAACATGGTGTCTATCTTCTTTTCTCCAAAAATCTTTGCTAGTATTAGTCGTACAATTAGTCTTTACTATTGGTCGTACCACGGTTTGTCATACATTCTGCCTTTTAAACTTCTAGAAATGTTTTTGCTCTTAATAATTTTCTGTAGTAATGTTACTGTCATTATTGTTAAGTGCCTGACAAAGCCCACTATATTGGAGCGAAACGTCGCATAAAAAAAGTTTCCATCTTTCAATTTAATAAAAAAAAACTCATACCCAAGAAAAGGAAAAAAGATATATGGATATAATCTAAAAGTTTAAGAAAAAAGAAAAAAAAAACATGTAGAAAGTGCGTCTAGTAAAAATCTATTAAATAATGCAAGACTTGCAAGAGTCTTAGATCGTACAAGATCAAGTCGATTAAATCAATCAAATAGATATCATATTAATTTAACAAATCCGCTTATTAAGCAGTAATCTATACAACATCTATACAACATTCTATACAATTCTCGAATTGATAATTTATATTATACGGGGTGAGTTTGCAAGTGCAAATATTTTCAGAGCTGGTAGATTGTGACAAAAGAAACATATTTTATCTTTACCGTTTTTCAAATAAATCCAAAATAACCTAGTTATTTTTTTTAAGAAACATCCTGTAACTCTAAATATGTTTATAGGAACTTTTTTCATATTTTTTGATGAGGAACCAATGAGTACTTATTTAAAACTTTCGCAAGTTAATAATTTTACAATTTTTTAAAGGTTACTATTTATTATGGTACGTATACATTGGTGCGCTGCGCCGCGAACGCGCAGCGCGCGCGCAGAGCGTTGGCCGCGCGTTGCTTTTATTGTTTTAACGAACATCCTGCGATCCATAGAAATCCCGCGAACATTCGTTTCATCGTTAATCATGTCTCTATCGTCCGAGAAGAACTACGCAATTTCAGTGATGAGTAGTGCGACTCTTTAAACCCTCCATTAATAAACAATATTCAAAGAAAATACACATACTGATAAATGCGCGCGGTGTCTTCACCGGCCGTCCCAATTGAACAACGAACATAGAAAGCGGAGAGTCGAAAAACCGACTGGAGATGGTTTGCTGCTAGCTGTTTGCGCGCAGAGCTCGCGCAACTTGAAAACATGTACCAATGTAGAGGCGAATCGGTGCGCGCATGCCGCGCGCCAACGTATACGTACCATTAGACTTGGCTCAAGGCAAATTGATATTTTAAAATAAAAAAAAAAAAACAACGCTTTATTGTACAAAAGCCAAAACAGCTTCATCGACAAAGCAAAACAAAAAAAGCACAAAAACAAATATACAAATAATACAAAAAATACAAAAAATGTCATACAATACAAATCAATTCAAAAAAAAATTACGTCATAAAATTACAAATAAAACATATATGGACATTGCAGAACACAGGCGTATCTAGAAAATTTTACAAAAGGAAAACTGTAAATGGATAAAATCATGTTATAATAACATAAAATCAAGAGTTATAAAATATTAAATACTAGACCTTTAACCAGTGTGTGAGATGATCAAAATATTAAAATTAAAATTCTAAATTGTTCATGATTAAACATCAACAAAAAAGTCGTTTACCGCATATAGGGCTCTCTCCAGTAAGTATGATTTCAGAGCTTTGCGAAATGCGGGAAAGAATGAAAGTGACTTGATATTCGAAGGCAAATGATTGTACATTTTCTTGGCATTGTACAGTATTGAGCCCTTAACTAGTTCTGAGCTCGGGGTTGGCAGATAAATATCGTGCTCCGCATTCCTAAGTGGATAGTTGTGAGAAGGCCTTTCCGGAATAGAGAATATGTGCTTGCGGATTAAGCAAACGGATTCAAAAATGAATAAGGAAGGAAGAGTCAGTATTTTGAAATTTTTAAAGAAATTCTGGCAGTGAGTTCTACTGTTTAGTCCCAATAAGTATCGAACTGCTCTCTTTTGAAGTTTGAAAATACGATCAAATTTTGTCGCGCAGCAAGTACCCCAGAATGGAAGGGCATAACGAAGATGCGACTCAAAAAGGGCATAATAGACCATTCTAGAAGTTGATGAGTTAAGTTCCTGTGACACTGATCTTAGCGCGAAACAGGCAGATCTTAGTTTCTTTGATAAGGCTTCGATGTGCAAGTCCCATTTTAAAGAGTTGTCCACAACAAGTCCTAAGAATCTCACAGAGTCCACGACGTCAATAGTGGTGTTATTAAGTACAAAAGGTTGTATAGTACTTTTATATGACAAAACTTTAGTTTTTGGAAGGTTGAGGCATAGGAGATTAGAATCGCACCAAGATTTAATGGTTCGTAAGTCACTGGATATAGTATCATATAGTGGGGAGTATTAATATACTACCCCTAAAATCTTTGCACTTATTTAAGACTCTCCTTGTATATTTTTATATTTATAAACTCAATTTTTTACGTTTTTTACGTTTTACCCCCAAACCTAAAGTTGTTAATTTTTTATATTCTATAGGTATCATTTTATTATGAAAAAAGTGATGAATTTTTGCAGATGAACTAAAAAGTAAACTATCAAGAAAAAACATGCACCTAAATGATAGAATTATTTTCAAATTCCTTGCTTTTTGAATATATTCCACAGAACGCTCCAAATTTTCACCAAAATAACAACATTTTTTGTTTCCTCGTATAATTGACAGATGGGAACTTTCATTTTTAATTTAAAAATATATACTTAAAAGTCAAATAATTTAGCTACAAATTGCTTAAAAGATCATCAAAATCGTTCCACTAGAACACAATATACACTGTGTCAATTTTAAAACTTCCCACCTTTAATATCTTTCTTGTAGTTAAAAATATGAAAAATCGGTAAGACACGTCAATTTTATTTGTAAGGGGGGCACTTTAAATGAATATTTTTAGCCTTTTTCTTTCAACCCCAGAGGAGGGTAGATGTCACCCTTACAATCTTCAATGGGAATGGGGGTCAAGTGGCACATCATTTTAAAGGGCGTTTAATTCTCTTTGCAGTGGTATCCTACTTTGTTGCTTTTTTGTCCAGAGGTTTCCGAATAATCGCGTTTCAAAGTTGCAGAAACAATTATACCTCATCTCAATACCTGCATTGAGATCTTGGTTTTCAGGCTAGTGTTTACACAAAAATCATTGCAGTGGGTCTCCTTGTAGTGCAAATAATTGGAAGATTAGATGGCAACATGGACGTAACCATTACATTTTTCTAGGGGGGTCGAAATACTAATATACAGAAAACATCATAAACATTAACGTTTCTTTCCACAAATTCGATTATTGGAGTGGCCCTTTTTACTCCTATTATTGAAGGAAACTTGACAGGTAATCTGTATCTTAGTATGCTTCAAGAGACTATTGATCCCCTTATTACACAAGAGCTAGAAACTAAAATTGATGCCGCTGGAAATCCAGTTTTACAGGAGGATTTGTTAATATTCCAGAAGAACAGTGCTCCACCTCATTATTTTTTTCCGGGGTACATGGATTGGCAGATGGGGACGAATTGAATAGTCTCCAAGATCACCGGATTTAACACCCTTAGATTTCTTTCTTCGAGGATATCTTAAATCCATTGTTTATAAAATACAACCTACAGATATTGATGATCTTAAAAAGACGAATTACAGTTGAATACCGGTCAACTCCCGGTGAAGTTTTCCGAAATGTTAGGGAGGAGTTTGAAAACAGATTTTATTATTGTTTACAGGAAAATGGACAACATTTTGAACAACTTATAAGATAGGACGTAAGTGGTGTAACCTAATCTTCTAATTATTTGCACTACAAGGAGATCCATTGCAATAATTTTTGTGTAAACACTAGCCTGAAACCCAAAATCTCAATGCAGGCATATGTAATTGTTTCTGCAACTTTGAAACGCGATTATTCGGAAACGTCTGGACAAAAAGCAACAAAGTAGGATACCACTGAAAAGAGAATTAAACGCCCTTTAAAACGATGTGCCACTTGACTCCCATTCCCGTTGAAGATTGTAAGGGTGACATCTAACCCTCCTAGGGGCTAAATATATTCATTTCTGCAAGAAAAATATTAAGGTCGGGAAGTTTTAAAATTGACACAGTGTATAAAATTTTAAAATACATCAAAATTTTAATGTGTCGGTGAGTGAAGATGTTTAGCAATTAAATCACATAGATGATAAGGTTACTAAAATCATGTTTCTAATAAACAACATGGTTCATGTAAAGAATTGTCTTTTTATTATAGTTAACTGTATCCAATATTATTGAATTTATTTGGAAAGATCGTCTTACCCAGAAATGGTAACTATTTTAACCTTATTCGTTATTAAAATATGTGAAATGAATATCAATATAATACTAAAAAGAAGAAATTCTCCATTAAATACGAGGACACGGATTCGTTCGAACATTTTTTGTCGAACAATCTGTGATAAGGCAAATTAAAAATAAAAACAAATAGAAAAATATATAAACAAACCAACCCTCTAAAAATTTATTATTGCTATTTTGAGTTTACAAAATAATCATATCATCAATATTATTGTTAATTGTTAAAAAACAATGCAATTAAAATATAATTTACCTAGATTTGTTCGATGAACTTTGGACATGTCCAGTGCAGACTCTTGCAGTTCCTCGTCGTCTTCAACTTTCTGTCCACATTTCTGATTCAAAATATCGTTTATAGAAAACGGCGTCACCGACACGGCAGAACATCGTTCACCTTTAGAAGTAAATTGACACACACCATCTTCTTCCATTATTAATTTCCCTAATTTTATAAAAGTCTCTAACGCGACGTAAGAGCTCTAAAACTATTAGAACTCTTTTGCTTTTCTTTGAGCGACGTCTGTAATAGAACTAGTGGACCGGCCTCAATGAAACGACTCGACACACCAGTCGCGTGGGCTAAGTAAATCACGGTCTGACAGCTCTCGCTCTAAGCCACGCGTTTCAGCATTTTTCCTCTTTGTCTGTCAACATATTTTAAGCCGGCCGGGGGGTGGAGCTTAAGGAATCGAAGAAAATCTGTCGTATCGTCAAGAAAAGTTTTGATTATTTCCCTAATGACTTCCATTTAGTAGATTATTTTTAGTGATTTTGTAAGGATAGGAGAGTCTCGGCCCACAATCGGCACCGTTTCGTTGATTGGTTTGGGTCGAATGAGGCGAAATTGTTTATTGGCCAGTCGTTTTCGATTTCTTGCGAATTATGTTTTTATTGCCGGATCGTTACGGTTCTTTGGATATACGGAGTGAGTCAAAATATCTAGAACGATAATTTTAAGCGTTTTTTTTATACAGGATACATAATATGTAGATGTGTGTGTGAGTACCGCTATTATAGATCTATTGAGTCCTCTTTTCTTGAGTTATAACTCAACACACAGTCTCAGTACTTTGACAAAAGCCAGTATGTGAGACGGTTTTATAGAGGTTAGTTCTCCATCTGCGATATCACTAGTACCAAAGTTTATGGCACGAATGGTTGTCATCTCGGTGCATTCATTGAAGAGATATTTTAGTATTTCTCCATTTAACCCACAGAATCTGCATTGGCCGTTATTGTTTAGCTTCAATGTATTGAAGTGTTCATTGAGTAGGCAATCTCCTGGTAAAAGCCCAGTGACAATCCAAAAATTGTTCTTATTTAAATCAAGGAAACTTTTTCAAAAAACTTCGTCATAAGTCTAAGAAATTTCTTCGAGTGCCTTAGCACGTTGGAGGATCTCCATTCCAGGTTACGAATGAAGTCTTCCAGGTTCTTGAGTTCTGCTTTAAGTTGGTTTCCACATGGAAAGCAAAAGGGTTCTAGTCTTTTTAATGGAGAGTTCGCTCTATTTCTAGCTAGACAATTTACTTTCTCATAACCTTCTATAACTTGGTGGACTGGCATCCAGAGTGAGATAACTTTATTTTCTTTGCCAAATTTGTTCATCTTCCCGAGGTATTCTTTGACCAAGTTCGAATTGATAATTACTAAGTTGATCGCTCTTAAGGTTGCTTGACTATCGGATAAGATCGCTATTAGAACCACTTACTGACGTTCGATTGGGCTCAAATTTGGTATTACTGTGTATGTTTGGTGATAATGCAATGTTATGGTACCATGGAGCTGGTCTGAAGATGGAGTCGGAAGGCCATATGAACTTCTAGCCTAGCCCTAAGTCGAATAAAATATTTAGGACTCCTTATAGAAGATATTTCTTAAATACCAAAAAAAATGCCTTGCAACTATGATGCATAAATTGAAATGTACTGATTAAGAAAAAGTAAAAAGTTAAAATAAAATTATTTATTAACCCTCGAGCGGGCGCGCCCGGTATTCTGTACGGCAATTTTACAAATTCTGTTAAAACAAAATATCCATTGGACGTAATTTGGTGGTGCCATTAAATATTCTTATTTAGGGATATTTGACATCTTGGGCCGTACTAGTTGCATATCTAACGTTTTTGATTCAGTAGCAATTCTGTCGTAAACTTGCCAACTACAAAATTTGCGGTACTCCGCGCTCCGTGCCGCTACGCGTCCGATTATGTAAGTAAAATAGTTATCATATGTTATTTAATTATTTTGCTTTATTTAGTAATAATATATAATAACATATGGAAACACAGCAAGAACTCCGAAGCCTTAATTTGTAAATTTGTGTCAGCATATTCTACAGATAAAGTTTGTATAAATTAATGTCCTAAAACGCTTCGTTTCGGAGATACAGAGCGTAGAAATTAGGTTAGGTTAGGTTCTCATTTTTATTTTGATTTTTTCCAAATAATTTATAATTTATGAACTAAGAATATTTGGATGAAAATTGGTGTCTGGGTGTTTTTTGACATGAGAAATTTTATTTCGATGTCAGTGTCATCCTACTTGTAGGGGGCGCCATCTACCTGGATCTTAATCGTTTAAACTTAAACTAATTGTAAAAGAATATACATTTTCGTCAATTTTTACTTAAAAAATGGCTCTTGGTAAAAATCGCTACGAGAAACTATTCTCAAGATATTTAGAATGGAAATAGTCAATACGTGCCATTAATAAATAATAATTTTAAATTGTTAATTAATTTTTTTTGATTTCTTTTATAATAATCTGTTAAATATATGTTATATAACCTGTAGTAACGACGAAAAGGGCCAGTATAGAAATATTTCCCAGAGATTTAAAAGTTTTCCTCGCTAAATATGCTCCAGAGGTAAGCTAGAGATAATAAGAAGCGAGTTGGTCCCTGCCATGTATGTGAAACCCATAAAACTACTAGTCTTTGCAACTAATGTAATAACTCTAAGACAAAAAATATTTCGTGAGATACATACAATTTTTATGATATATATTATATTTGTATGATACAAAAGAACAAATTTTTTGAATGTTTCTATTTTTTGTAATTTTTCCGATTTTTCTTCTGCATGCTTCTAATCTGATTGCTCAAAGGAGAGTTATCCGAAAGGATTACAGAACACAGCCTTAATAGAGCTATTTGTACATCCTCCCCAGTAAAACGGACATAAGTGAAAAAGCTGTGATTTGCGTTCATACATCGCCTATGGTGCTAACTGCTATATGGTGTTACATGGTGGCGAGTCAATATGTTATTTGCATGATGGAATTCATTGATCCTCAGTCCTAATCCTTTCTAGCCTCCTAATATTATCTTCATCTTAAATTCGCCTGGAGATTTTTTGGTTTTATAATACAAGAGATTAAAATACGCAGTGAACTCTCATATTTCGTGTCTTCAAGGTGTTTATATAGTTTAATATTATAGTCCCTGATGCCAAAAAAAGTAAGCCTAATTGTCTTTGACCACATAATGAAGTAGGCAAAATGTTTTTTGTTTTTAAATCATAACTATTTCAATAATTTCACTAATCATAATCAAAACTATTTCTTGAATTTACTAGTAATATTAAAACTATATGTAAATTGCTTTAAAAGAAAAACAACAACTATAATAAGAACATCTAAGAACCTAAGAGTTAATGTTAAATCATCATGCTTTTCATGATGAAAAAATAGGTACTAAAGAATAAATATCAATTAAAAATGATAGGACGTGATACTACTATTTGATTTTGTTAACAGAAGCAGCTAGATGAAGAAAAATATTTAAAGACAATAAAGTATAATCCTTTTAAAATAAAAAAAATATAATGTAGTTTAATGAAATTTTCTGATGCATATACAGGGTGTCCCAGGCTGAGCGTGCATTAAAAGTTTCTAGAGAACTACAACATCTAGCTCCGAGATTTTTTGCACATCATAGTTTCACAACGAGATCTATCGATTAAAAATATTTTCAATATGACGGCACTTCCGGAAATACCGGAAGGTGACAGTAACTTTCTTATTTTAAAAGGGTGCCCCCATTTTTCATTACATACTTAAATTCTCTGTAAAATTTTATGAATTTTCATATTAAACACTCTATATCTAACATTGACCGTTTTTGAGAAAAAAAATATTTAAAATTTTTGAACGAAAAAAACTGCCTGTCAAAAATATGTGTATATATGTACCCTCAAACGTCAAATTCAGTAATTACCACAGCTACTGTGCCATAAAGAGAAAACATGTGGCTATCTATTTCAAAAATTGATTGCTCGAATGTCATATAATAATGGCCGCAGCTGTCATAGAATTGAGCGATTAAAAAATTATCGTAAATCATTTTTTTCAAATGGAAACCCACTTTTTTATTTCACCAGTAAAAAGGCTTTTCAATTCGTTACTTTTTGATTATACATGTTCCTATACCTAAAATAAATCGCTTTTAAGTTATTTAAGATTTAGTTTTAAAGCCTCTATTTTTCTTGATTTTAACCAGTAGCTTATGACTTTAAACGTCAAGTAATGTAAAACAATAAATCTGGCCATGTCATATTGTGACACTTTGTTCAAAAAGGAGCATGATTTCCGAGCCAACTTTGCGCTGTTTTTTTTTTCGATCATACGGAATATTATTAATATTATCAACTTTAGATATCACTAAGAGCGAAAATACGAGATATTTTTTTAATAAATACACTTTTTAAACTCTTAAGGTAATTGGTAACTAACTCTTAAGATAATCCGAATAATTCGGTTTCTGACATGATGGAAATAAATTGTCTGACCGTTTGACACTTAATGTCAAAGGAAGCTAGATAAAATCAAGAAAAATATACGTTTTCAAATTAAATCTTAAATCACTTAAAAACGATTTATTTTAGCTATAGGAACATGTACAGGGTGGGTCAAATTCGACGCTTTTAAATGGAAACACCCTTTTCTATAGGAGATAGACAAATAACTAATATTGGTGTCTGGAGCTCAATTTTCATCAAAAACATGATGGTGAAAACCGCACATCAATATCTGTTACCGTTTCGGAGTTACGGGGTGTTTTTCAAAAATGTGTATTTTTAACAAATCGCTGTAACTTTTTTGCTATAGAAAATTTCTCACTCATTAACTCAGTGGGGGTGAAAGATACCCTCTCATAACTGCTAAGTATTTCTAATTCTTGTCTCGATTATACGGAAGAATAAGGAACCTTTATTCTTCCGCAAATATATCCATAGGATTAGATCCATGAGCACTAAGTCAGGCGGCCTCGACGGCCAACGGCTGGGATCTTGGTTAGCTATTGAATTATTCTTGAAATTGGATGCAAAAATTTGCTGACAACTTCAGCGTTAAGAGGCGGTGCGTCGTCTTGCTGGAAAAATATATTTTCGAGTTTCATTAAGAACTTTTAATAATTCTGTATTTCGAAGGGGATTATAACAAAACATCAAGTGTTCTATATTTTTGGAAAGGTAATTTTAAATTCTTTTCAGTTAATGAAAAATAT